CTTTCTGTTGGTAAAAAAGTGGAAATTGTTCTACAAACACAAAGAGTTAAGCTTTTCACTGACGACTTACGAAAAATTGGCACATTCAGTGTGGTTAGCGGCCTTCAGTATTAGTTAATTTAGACTTTTTAAAAACAAATATATAAGTTTACAGAATTACACTCGCAATTACGGATATGGTTAGAAACGACATCGAAGTACATGGACTAAGGTCGAGTAAAACCAGTTTACCCACGGACATAGCCGCGTCATTGTAGATTGATATCACATAAACCCCCACCTATATACAAGATAGGTTATATATATATATATATCGTAAGCATTTTACTTCAATTGCCTATGGAAAAGCTTTTATTGGAGACAAGTGTATATATATATATCCATGCTGAAAAGATTATTTTAATTATTATGTAAGTGTTTGTAAAATTCGTTCCTTTAATATTTCTTTATTTTTTCATATCATGTACCAGGGAGTACTCCACAACATCAGAGTGATCCTTACACTTTCTTTGAGGTACCCATCCCTAGGGGCGTGTATCTAATCCAGTTCAAGGCCACTTGTCCATATTCTGCATTCACAATCCCCGGGAGAAATTTCTTGGCCATGGACGAAATCGCCATCGCTCAAAAGGAGTGCACAGCTAAACGTAATTATACGCGCACGCATGTATATTGTATTATGTTTATTGCATAGTGCAGAACTAACAGTAAGTCTTTGTTGAAATTACGTCGTCTTAATTGAGTTGTTCCGATCTCTGTGTTCTCGTCTTATCTTTTTTTTTGGATCGTACAAAGCATACATCTTGTAAGTAAAACACATCACAGTAGCAAACAATGCTATGGTTTCACTGTTTAAAATAATATATATCAACTTACATTGAAAGCTTTTCAATAATGATGAATCCACATAATTCTGCCCCAAACAGAATATCTCATGTAACTACATGTAAATGCCACCTTAAAGGTAAACTCTATAGGTTTGAAAGTCCCCCAAATGATATTTTTGCCATGCACAGCATCTTATAAAACCTTATGTACACCTTAAAATAAATATTTTTATCTGATGTTGATCAATACTTCCATCGCAACTTAGGAAGATGGTCGCTGGCTATAATGACTGCCCAGTCATTTAGAACTAAATCAGCCTTCATAAATTTAATAAATTTTGAATCCAAGTTCAAAGGGGGTAAGATAAATGATTCGTGAGTACAAGAAGATTGCTGATTTCCATGGGAAATCCATTTCGGCGGGAAAATCCTACCCTCTACCAGATTGATTTTCCACAGATATTCACAGATATGTCTCTAGATAAATAGACAGTCATTTTGGCCTGATGTCAGCTTCAGCCAAAATGTCCATAATAATAACTGCGGTCTTGGTAGAGGGTAGGAAAACCCCATGGAGTTACCCCTTAAGGAAAAAAGTCATCAGCAAGCTCGTCGTATTCTAATATATGTCAAGAGTAACCTATCAAATCCAATTAATTATTTTTAGCCACAACCTCTTTACCCGCTACATCGCAAGAAAATTCAGAGACCACAAGGGAACAAGAACTCACCACCACCACCTCCACCACACAGAAGACGCGTCCATTTTTGAACTTCTTCCTCGTGAGTGCAGCAAGGAGGGAAGATTTCTGGGATTCCTATACTATCGTTGCACTGTGTGTTCTGGTACTGGCAGAGCGGTACATATGGAAAGGCTTTCTAGTTGCTTAAATGATCGGAACGAACAGAGGGAGAAGGCCTTTTATGTGATATCAATCTACAATGACGCGGCTATGTCCGTGGGTAAACTGATTTTACTCGACTTTAGTCCATGTACTTCGATGTCGTTTCTAACCATATCCGTAATTGCGAGTGTAATTCTGTAAACTTATATATTTGTTTTTAAAAAGTCTAAATTAACTAATACTGAAGGCCGCTAACCACACTGAATGTGCCAATTTTTCGTAAGTCGTCAGTGAAAAGCTTAACTCTTTGTGTTTGTAGAACAATTTCCACTTTTTTACCAACAGAAAGGCCTCTAGTGCGGGTAATAAGGCTTATTTGACCTTATCCTTATCGTAGGGACAGGTTTGTCTGCTGGAAAGTACTCCCTAGCGCTCCCCTTCCTTTCCTATTACAGTTACCAGGCCCGTAACCAGCAAAGTCAAAAGGGGGGTTCTTTTTCTGAAAAAGTGGACCTTTTATAATGAAACATTTGTGTACCTAGATCAAATTGCACCCAGAATGGACCTTTTTCTGACAAAAAGGGCGGTTCTTTCGAACCCCTCGAAACCCCCCCCCCCCCGGTTCCGGCCTGGTTACAGTTCAGGTCACAAGATAGGATGTGTCTATTTGACTGCTCCTGTTGGCTGATCAAAGCACAACACTGATAAGAAAAAAGTTACAGTCGAATTGTATGAGTCATGGCATAATGGCAAGGAATTTTAAGTTTGTGGACAAAAATGTAATTACTTTTAGAAATTTGGGGGTTATACCACTCCATATATTTAACACTCGCAAAAATGGAATTTCCGAACGTATTTCCAGTCAAGAACTTATGGACTAGTTTAGATATGACACGTGTTAAGGTGCAAAATATGTTCTGATAATGGACCCCCAATGATTGATAAAACGAGGGCAGGAGGGCGCAGCATTACTTTTACAAAGACCCCGTGATACTGATCTGTCTCTGTTGAAATATAATGCAGACACTTTATTAGGGTGGTGTGACGTTATAGCTATTGTCCCCCTGCTACTTTTTGTGTGAAAAATCAAGCAGCTTTTTCATTTTCTTAAGCAATTTATTAGCAGATATCAGACAATAAAGATTCAGCACCGATATTGCACGTCATCCTTTTTTTATTTAAAATCATAAAAAGTTGAAAAGGAAAAGGAAAAACTCGTTGCCATCAAAGATTTAAATTCTACTTTAGGTAACAGGTCATTGTGACAACGTGCCATTTTTGCGTCACTTGAATCAGAAATTTGTTAATGATGTGTTCTGTTTTTCAATAAACAAATTTGAAAGTTAATCAAGAAAGAGGTTTTAATTTTGGGCACAAGTCTCTGAGGTTGTATTTATTCAAGAGCTGAGACCCAAAGACTTTACTATCGAGTGTTTACTGAAAGACTAATTTTGCCAGTTGTTTGAGAAAAGTTTTGTTATTATATTACAATCGAGGTGCATTTTGGTCATGTTAAGTTTTATTGTCATTTGTAGTGTATTTTGTTATGTTAAGTCACACAGGAGACAGATGTTATGGCCCCAGTTTCACAAAAAAAGCTTAAGTCAGGTTCCTTGGCTAAGAACGTAATTACCATTGTTACATGGTCACATCTTACCCTATCAGGAGTAGTGTAACAGCACTCTCATGGAAATCCTAGTCAACTAAGCCAAGGAACTGTCTTAAGTTTTTTAGTGGAACTGGGGCCTGGAGAGAACTGTACAGATTAAAGTATAGTCAGAGATGCCACCACATGTGAGAAATGTGAGGTTTTATCTTTAACACTGTACTATTATCTCTTTTAATATCTTAAAATCTTAACTGTCCATATATTCATTTACATCATAGTACACATTTTCATATCTTAATATCTTAACTGCCTATTTATTTATTTGTTGACTTTATTCATCTTATTCATTTTACCCATGGGAAGTGAACTGAACATTTTATATGGATTTATTATTATTATTATTATTATTATTATTATTATTATTATTATTATTATTATTAAATAAAGCATGTGGATAAAGGAATAACACTGGTACATGATGTAATAAAAGAAAATAGTTGAACAGCATGTGTGTTTACTTAACTCAACTACTGACAAAACAAGAACACTGTACAGCAACAAATCACAAGCGACACATTAAAAAAATAGGATTGAATCCAAAATATTTTTTTCAATTTTTGACTTTTATGTATTCATATAAGTACCGGTAAGTGAGTTGTATTGGTGGTGACGTTATCAAATAGCCACCAATAATAAATTTTGTAATCTTAGCATTGAAATTATACTCGTGTGCCCATAAGTATGATTATTATTTTGTGTATTAGAAAGCTTAACTGCTGGCAGCAGTGTGCTTTTAATTACTGTTCATTATTGTGTAGCATTTGATTTATTGCATTCAATGATGGTTTTTCTTTATTACATTCACCTTACGTTTCTTTAAACTTTGAAAAAATAAGTTGCAGCAAATCTGACTGCCATAAATTTTAGATACCAAAGTACTCTTTTCTTCAATGCTACACATTTCTTAAGACCTTGAAAATAAAACAGTGAAAAGTAAAAAGAAACAAATTCAAAATGTTTTTTCTCTAAAAACTTTACTTCAATCAATCCAAGAAACTTAACATGTCCAACATCCTTGTGTCCTTGTTAATACCTCCGTTTTCATTAACAAACAGCCAGGTCATATTCGCCATGACCTGCGACGGTGTCCAGATTTTCACATTCATTAGCTGTTTTGTCCAACTGAGTCGTAGCATGGACCCCATTTCCATAGATTTTAGATCGACCTATCCCTGTGGGGAGTCTCACTAGATTACTGTCAGCTTAGCCGGCTTAAGCGTCTGTCCCGCCTACTAAAAGCTGTAAGGGGGTAATTAAGTATGGTGCGCGCTCGACTGACTGCAAATTTAGCGTGAACCCCCAGGGAGTTAGGTCGATCTAAATCTTAATCTCTGGATTGATCTAAATCTCTGGGAATGCACCCCATATGGACAGAGTCTTCCCACTACTCAAGATCCATATGCATGCCTTACACTGTAGGGAGGAATGGTTCGTAATTTGCCCTGCAGGGTGTTGTCTAGTGATCTGTTATTGGCGAGAACGCTGTGAGCCGCCCCTACCCCCCCCCCCCCCAAAAAAAAAAAAAAAAAAAAAAAGAAGAAGAAGAAAACACGCACTTTCTGAACTTTGAACTTAAGTAAAGAATATATTCAACCCACTTCCCACATATCCAATAATAGCGTTTTGTCTCCATTGACATATGTTGCAGCCACTTTGTCTCTATAAGTTTGGCGCCAAGTTGAAACAATTCTTCTCCATGTGTGTACAAGTAGTTTGCTCTTTCAGGCGTGTCTTATCGAGTAGCTTCCTCATTTTCTTGTACAGCTTCAGCAGATATATCAAACAGCCTAGAATTAGTGCTGAGAATGCACACGCCAACCGACCTTCCCATTTGGACTCTGAAAAGGCTGAAAAACAAAAACAAAAACCAAAGTGTCATCATACTGTACATGCGTGTTAAATTCTAATTATTTTTCTCTTAAATATGTCATTTGAAACCCAACCTTAGACCCATAGACAGGGAGTTAAGGGGTTTGACAGAACAACCCATTTTCCCAGAAAAGATCCGCTGTAGCCGAGTCATAACGTTGGACTCTTTTAAAATAAGCACATTGGTTTTGCAGTAAAAAGTTCCCGTTTTTCAGAGAAGGAAAACCACCATGTGAAATAGCTGGCTAAAGGTCATACCTATATGAGGTACCGGTATTACTCCTGTAGTAAGGGTTCCAAAAGTTTCAAGCCTCATATAAAAAATAATACGCCAATTCGAAATAGCATGTCCTTTTGTACTGTCAACTATTATTACATTTCTGCATTGTTCTTTTAATAATTTGATATGAGAATTGGTTGAGCCTGGGTCTCATTGTCATGCAACAATACGGGGCATAGTTTTACATACCTTTTCCTTCGGAATTATCCAGTTTCTTCGTTTTTGCGTTCTCCATTGATCCCTTGCGGACGGATCCTGGTGGAATTTCTGGCCGCAACGAACCAGGAATGATGTTTGTATTTGCATCACGGGGTGCAATAAGTAACTGAAAGTTGGGTAGAAAGGGCGCAAGAAAGCCACCAGGGGCATTTCTTGTTGATGGAACAAAGAAAGGGGAGGGTGTCATAGGTTGCCTTCCAGAGGTCGCCACATGTCCTATGGTTATAAAAGGTGCAAAAAAGCCACCAATCGGACCTCTGGTTGTTGATTGTGCAGAGAACGGAAAGGATGTCGCGGGGGGACGTCCAGAGGTTGCCACAGGTCCTGTTGTACCTGATCCGGTAGCAGGGACAATGAAGATAAAAGTCTTTCCGGGAAGTCCAGGTCGTCCGGTCGGGCCTATTGGGCCGGGTACGCCAGAGTTTCCTTTGGCGCCTTTCATTCCCATCATGCCTTTCATCCCAATCACACTTCCGGTGTTACCCGGTAGGCCCTTCATGCCCTTGTTTCCTAGTATTCAAAGATCACAAAAAAATACAACAAGCATTACTTCAACCGTTCTTCTTATTTAAATGAATTATCATTAGGATAACCTTGTGGCTTCGAACCTGATCAATCAAATGAAAAATTGGCAGTTTATAATAATAATAATAATAATAATAATAATAATAATAATAATGCAATTCTTAAAACGTCGCAGCGATACTTACAAATGATTTATAAATCCTGCAAACATACATCATTAAACTCAGATTTATTTAATTCTACTTTGAAAAGATCCAAAGCCAAAAGTGGCATAAAATTAGCAATATCTCTTCTAATAAAATCATACTTTGGGCAAAATAGAGGTGACAGAGATATTTCCCAAACGCACAAGGAACACAATTAAAAAAAAAGAAATAAAAAAAAAAAAAACACAAAAACAAATGAGAAACATTTTGCCAATTACAATAGAACAAAGATAGATAATAATCAATTATATTTTTAATTTCAAAACAACATATTGCAATGAAAGCATACGTGAAGTACACATTTGATCACACCATTTCAAGTGCACATAGGAGATACACCGTGACTTACCCAACGCACAAATTAACAACCAAACCTGCGATTTCATCAGAGAAGACTATCATAGAAATGGTACAAATTTTGTTCCTCACCTTTAACTTAATTTCTTACCTTTCATTCCTTTTGCACCTGGTGGCCCTCTCAATCCTGGTGGGCCAGATGTCCCAGGAGGACCACCAGTCCCAGGGGGACCACCTGACCCTTGGGGTCCCACAGTTCCAGGGGGACCTCCTGTGCCTGGTGGGCCTCCTGTCCCGGGAGGTCCACCAGTTCCTGAAGGACCACTAGTTCCTGGTGGCCCTCCGGTTCCTGGTGGGCCTCCCGAGCCCGGTGGGCCTCCAGAGCCCGGAGGACCACCTGTACCTGTAGGACCACCCGTTCCCGGTGGCCCACCCTTACCCGTTGGCCCCCCAGTTCCAGGGGGACCAGATGTTCCAGGTGGTCCGCCAGTACCAGGAGGACCGCCTGACCCTTGGGGCCCTCCAGTTCCAGGAGGACCTCCTGTGCCCGGAGGGCCTCCTGTTCCTGTAGGCCCACCAATACCTGGAGGTCCCCCAGTTCCTGGTGGACCACTAGTTCCTGGGGGCCCTCCTGTTCCTGGTGGACCACCGGTTCCTGGGGGACCACTCGTTCCCGGTGGTCCACTTGTACCCTGTGGCCCTCCAGTTCCAGGGGGACCAGATGTTCCAGGTGGTCCGCTTGTCCCAGGAGGACCACCAGTACCTGGAGGACCACCAGACCCTTGGGGACCTCCAGTTCCTTGTGGACCTCCTGTGCCCGGCGGTCCTCCTGTGCCAGGAGGTCCACCAGTACCTGGAGGGCCCCCAGTTCCTGGTGGACCACTAGTTCCTGGGGGGCCTCCTGTTCCTGGTGGGCCACTTGTTCCAGGTGGACCGCCTGTTCCTGGTGGACCAATTGTGCCTGGTGGGCCTCCCGAGCCTGGAGGACCGCCTGTTCCTGGTGGACCACCAGTTCCGGGTGGGCCTCCTGTTCCTGGTGGGCCACTTGTTCCCGGAGGTCCACCAGTACCTGGAGGTCCCTCAGTTCCTGGCGGGCCTCCAGTCCCTGGTGGCCCACTTGTGCCTGGTGGACCACCTGTTCCTGGCGGTCCTGCTGTTCCTGGGGGCCCACCTGTGCCAGGGGGCCCTCCAGTTCCTGAAAGTTCTGAAAAATTCAGGTAATAACTGTAGCACATCTTTTTTACTGAAACATTTTTATTGAAAAAATTGAAAAATGTACTTTGATTTAAACAATTTATACAGGTTATTGTTATTTCCCATTTATTTATATGGTTTTAGTCAAACCCTTATATGGCATGGTGATGAGGTACATTTAAGATCAGCGAAAAAAGGAAAAAATAATGCGAGGTGCTTTATTAATAGTATCCTTTAAGGTTTAAGGTCTTGTTCTTGAATTATCTAACCTGTGCACATCCCGCCAGAGCAAACGAAGCTTATCGTGCGCGTGCATGTGTTACCTGACACGCACATCTCATGCAGATTGTTACATTCCGCAGATGACGTACAGGTTTGGCCTTCCACTAGAAATAACGATATTATTATTATACAGATTCCAAAAACCTTAAAGCAAAAATCCCACTTTTGTAACACATACAAAAAGTTGTATACCCGATAGAGATCATCTTCATTGCGGCAGAGCAGGACAGTTCAGGGAAGGGCGATATGGGAGAGCTGAGTGCGATTGACATAAAACAATTTATGACAATTCACGTACAAGAGATAATTGCACAGTTCAATAACATGTCCATGATTGACAGGACAAGAAAAGACAAGAAAAGTAAAAAAAAACAGTATATTTTACAACAGGAATGATACCTTCTACCAGGCCAAGGTAGAAGAAAGAACTCCAAAACATCCTTTACCAGAACAGACTGGGCCAGGATAGGACACGGCATTACGTGACAGGAACCAGATCAGGGAAAGAAAAGGATCTAGGTAAAAGGAAAAAATTATCAGAGCGCAGCAGACCGGATTTGAACTAGGCAATAGTAGAAAGTTTAGCAGAGCAGACAGGATCAGGGAAGGACAAAGAACTAGGTAATAGGGGAAAGTTAAGCAAAACAGACCGGATCAGGGGAGAACAAAGTACTTAGTAATAGGATTAAGTTAACTGGAGTGGACCGGATCAGGGAAGGACAAGGCACCACATAAGAGAACACGTTAAAATGATAGGTGGCCGGATCAGTCGACAAAGGAATGGACGTGATCTGAAAAGTCTTTCAACCAGATTAGAATGATTGTAATAAAAATACCATCGTCGTTCGAATCTATTTTTGCTTTGATAAAGTATAAGGTGCTCCTTTGTGTCAGTAGCGAAACTTTTTAATAAATCATCTTTGCTCTTTATACAGACTTTGTTTAAACAGACCGGCGATAAAAAACGTGCAACTGATGAATCGGCAAGCTTTCTGCCAAACGTCAAATTAGAATGTAAAATGGTTAGATTTTACAATCTTTACCTGCTGTGCAAACGCCACTGTCATCAAAGTATCCCTCAACGCATGCGCATACGTTACTTCCCCCTACAGATGTACAATCAGAATTTGAATCACTATCGGAACAACCAGTTTGTCCAGCGATACAAGGCTGACCAGGGGCACCTGAAGTCCACAGAAAATGAAAGTAAATTTATGTCATACACATTCTGATGGAAAGATGGCTGTTGGAACAATAACAGGTAAATACCTGTACATTGTAGACAGAGTACGGCAATAATTTGCATTTAGTTTGATTATTGGAAGGTAAATAAGTAATTTCCTCAATCATCATTGTTGAGGTACACATCTAAAACTGCTGAAGCAATTACGATATGCAGTATAAAACTCTTTTTTAATTTAAGGTATTTTACCATTTCGAAAATAACTCACCAGTCGCTGAGCGAGAGCGACTCGGACTTTTGAAACAAAAAACTCAAAAACGTGTTTATATAACGCCCTATGTCGACAAAAAGGATTACTTTTGATGTTGAAATTAGAAAAAATATTATAGTTACATTGTACATTAATGTTTAACGCTCATCATAACCCTTGAACATTTTGAGATTTGATACAAGTACTGGAACATTACCCTCTAATATACTTACAATTATTCGTCGGAGGAACACACTGCGCGTGAACGTCATTGGTCATAACCATTACAATGGCCAGTATCTTCACACACATTCCTTTCATCATTGAAAAAGTTAGGCACTTGTTAATTGGAGGTTCTGATACTTTAGTTTGCCTGTCTTAAATGTCCTTGTCAATGGATTTCATTTTGTGGAGTCACACTTTGCCGGCTGATAGTTTTGACGGGAATCTTTTACCTGTAAGAACGATTATTTTCATTACTGAAAAGAAAAATTGAATAGGAAGTCGCTTGAATATTTCAATATGCCAAATACTATAAAACAATCCGTCTACTGATTTATATTTGCCTCGCTTTGCTCTCTAATTTATCCCTCTGCCCCCCCCCCCCCCACTCCACTCCAGAGGCAAGTGTGATCGAGCGTGAATGATATTTCTGAATACATCCTTTTGAGAAGAATACGCCAGCAAAAAAAAAAAAAAAAAAAAAAAAAAAGATCACATTTACTCCACAAAACTTTTCTCGACTTCGATCTACACGTTTGGAATATTGTGTAGTAATTCACAGACCGTTGCTTCATTTTCCCGGCGTCGTACCCTTCAAGTTTAATGCTGTAACTTTCATTGTGATCTACAGGTCTGCCAAGTTTCACGCTTGCAGTCGTAAGAACAACATCACTGTTTGTCATGGGAAATAGGTCACTGATAGATATCATAACTGAGACATGAATTGTTTTCCACTTATTTTTCCTTTGCCAAGTTCAACTGCATTATATGAGATCATCATGCATGTATAAATATGTTTGCGTTATATGAAGCACCTACTTACTAAGTAAGCCATCTAGACAGGACTATGAATAAATTCGAAATGCACCGCACGTAGGTACATGGTACTACAACTACAACAAAAATGTTCATTTTACGGTTTAATATGCTAGATTAAATTCTGTTGTTCAAACACGAGCTTGACACCAGACAGAAAAAGATCAAAGAGGCGGCCAGGCTTTCAAGTTTTAATTATAACCTTTTGACAGAGTAATCATCCAATGTATTGTTCATCAATCAGCGTGTCCTGTCGTTTTTATTGCAATTATTAGGGAGTAAAGCGTGTTTTATTTGTAGAGGTTCTAGTTCCATAGACTGAGTGACGATATACTGCTATTTACATCATTCTTAGAGATCTAAAAAAACTCTCTCTGTGCCATCGTGTAACATAAACGCTGTCTGTAAATACCATTTCATGTTTCTGAATAGTCACATTCTGGTAAAAGTAAGGTTTTGTCAGCGTCTACTGTTTTACCTCAACAGACAAGCTTTGGCAAATCCTCTAAGACTGATATGATATCTCAGAGTAGAATTACGTAGAAATACTTGAAACAGATGTCGGATGCGTGCATTTATATAAAAACGAAATGTTACGAGCATTACATTTAAACACAAGACTTGTAAAACTTAAAGAGATGATTGTTCTTTTCTGTAACGTACCAGCTAGGAACCATGCTCTTTGTGAGTTCAGCTCTCGCTTGACTAGCTACCAGCGTCATAAAAAGTAAGTTCAGCTCGAAAAATGTTCTTAATTTTAAATTTTTCTACTTCAGTTCAAAATACTTCTATAGTTGTCTTTTAAGTCATTTCTAAGGTATGCTGAGTTAATTCATTACCTAAATTACATTGTCTAAACATTGACAAGACGTTAGATTTGAGCTTGTTATGAAAGTTTGATCAAAGTGATAACGATGTTGGATGAAAGTCAGATTATAACTTCTTTCAATCAAAGTAGTTAAAATATTAAAGTTTTTTTTTTTGTTCTAACAGTTATACATTATATCTTTGATAAAATTCCAACTTTTAATTGATGAGTCACAACACCCTATTCTGTAAAGTATGTCTGTGTTTACTGTAAAAAGGATGGGCTTCTTACGGTTTTTCTGGCAATGTAATTTTCAACAAACAGAATGTTTTAAGATATTGTAAAACATTTCATACTTTAATCAATTGATAGATTTTGGAAGTTAAAATGTTTTATCAAATACCCTGGTATCAGTAAGATAATGTTGATAAATATCACCATATGTAACAATTTACATCTTACTGTATGACAACCCATATTTTAACAGGGCTTCGTAACTGACCAATCAGAGGTCTGAAATACGGTAATACTATATGTATATACCAATGTACCAAAGGACATACCAATGTAGTAAAGTTTGTCGGTATAAAATTGTTATGGGTCCATGTGAATGCTGAAATATCGGCCTATTGGCTTAGTTCTTTCGTAAAATAGACATACTTTCATTAAAGAACACAAAACAAATTTAATCTCAATAATTGGTTTGAAAATGGAAGTAATTAAGCTAGACTTTACTAATCAGCCTCTCCTGAAGGCCTTGATTTACGCAAGACCAGTCCTATGCAAATTAGATGTACTTAAAATGAGCTTTAGCCCCAGGTGAAGCCTGATTTAAACTTTGTGTAAAGCTTGGTTGTAAAGCTTGGTTCAAATTCAGTGTCAATTTTAATTGACATTAAAATGTTTAGCACAGGTTGGTGGAAAACCCAGAGGTAAGACTTTTAAGTACTCTCAGTATTAGAGTAATTCCTGGTGGTAGGCCCTTTCCATGGTTTCCCACCAAGTTTTTATCAGGTTTTACGAAAAGAAAGTCCCTTAAACTTTACTTATATGTTGGAAGATGACTATTTTAGTGCAAACAAATAAGGACACGTTACCTTTAACCGGCTTCTGCCACTCGCTTGACTGTTGATACAGACCTCTGTACAGCTATATATACATTTATTCATCAGACCAGGCAAGTGACTCCAGTACCAAATGAAGATAAGCCAGACATGTCCTCGGTAGAACTTGACAAGATTTCACCGCCCCAACTTATCCATACAGTAATGCCAAGCCTACAAGTGTTGTCTCTTACATATCTATCGGTGTTCAGTTCTTAAATGGCACCTGTTCCCTTCATGTCAACATCTAGTTCATTGATGGTGCATGCACAGTTTGTCAGCTAGGCGCCGTTCACATTTGGTTCCAATGGAACGTATCTTATTTGGACTCTCTGTTGCCAAGAGCGCAAACAATAAACAAGTTTATATGTAAGCACTATTTTCCTGCTTTTTCCGTAGCCTGGAACTCTGCACCCTCTCCTTTTAGTTGACGAAATGAGAGAAACGTTGTGTGGATGTCCAGTTGATTACAAAAAGCACTCACTACATAACGGAGGACGAAGCAGATTTGGTCTGTCTGTGACTAGTGTGAATCTGGCTTTTCCTCGCTCCTGAAGGCAGGAAGTGACAATGAAACAGTTTGATGGATTTTGTCTTGCCCATAGCAAGTTTGCGACGACTGCCATACATAAACTGAAATACCATCTAGTTGTATGATTTGGGAGAATGACAACCACTTTAATGCGAGTCAATGGGAATTGTCAGTTTACTTGTCTGTTTGACTGCATGATTGTCTCTTAGTCTGTCTGCCTCTGCCTCTGCCTGGGCCTTTTTTCCACGACATTTAACCTGACCCAGCTTTATTTCTTTTATCTACACCTAAAAATGTACATTATAATAAAGGATAATTAATTAGCTCAAAAAACTCCTTGGTGCAGAAACGCGTTGTGCACGATTAACCAAGTCGAACAAAGATCGGCAGCGTAACTTCTGATAGCGGCAGTACTACGTTCGTCCCGAATTCATTGCACGCTGCTCGCCGAGAGTTTGGCTATCATAATTTGCTTCAGGGGTCTTGGTCAGAAGGAGAGCATGAACTTGCCAGCGGACTCATCGCGAAAAATGGTCATAACTCATCTGTGTGGCGTTTAGTGAATCGGTCTATGTTTGCTCTTTGTGCTATTTTACAGGCAAATAAACTCTCTCTCTCTCTCTCTCTCTCTCTCAAATTGATATTCTTTTATGTACACGTTTAGCCATCGATGAATGAAGAAATATATAGACATTCTTATGTGGAATTTTCGTTGGTGCCATTGTACTTTATCGGACCAACCTGCTTTATGCGATTTCATAAAAAAAAAATAATCGAACAAGCGATATAATAGGTAATCTAAAAAATGATTATTTTGATACTTTGATCAAGAGAGAGATAAATATTAGAATTAATGAAAATTGAGATATGCAAATATAAATAAATGCACATACAGGGTAAATAGTTAATTAAATTCTGATTAATTATTTTAGTTATTTGAAAATGTTAATCAAAGAACAGATTAACAGATAATTTGTTGTTTAAAAACAGCCCATATAAAATGCATAGATAAGTATATGATAAATAGATCGGCGTGAGTCCCCGTGGAGTTAGGCCACATGTAGAACAGCGGACTAACTAGACAAATACGGCGACCCACTTAAAAGCTTGCCATCTAATCCCCTAATAGACACTGAACAGATTCCTCGCTGGGATTCAAGTGGGTCGTCCATATTTGATCCACGAACAAGTAAGTCCTCTGTTGTGAATGCGGCCTTAGTGCGCATTAGCTACATCAACATAGCTTCTTCGGAACAGTCCCACCGTGAGTGCGTGAGTCCTCTATTCCAGCAAATTCTACGCTTAAAAATATGTCGTTACGCCTTAAGGACATGGCACCTGCCTGTTTATTGTATTGACCCCAATGGTATAGACATATCACACCACCAAGGAGTTTCAGTTGCTCGTGTCTGTGTGGGACTTGATCACATTCCACATCAAAGGCTCGGATAGCGTTTATGGGAGCTTCCGAACCAACCTGTATGAGCCACGAGCATATCTGCAGCTATTTGGCTAGAAGACGTCATCCTCCGGCTACGAGGAAATACATCGGGTCGGGACAACGCGTATCTCTGTACAACACCATGTTCAATAAATATAACAAGACACGGTACGTTTAAAATTGCAAAATGTTAGTACTATTCATATCGTGTGTCTCCTTTTGACTTTTATGAATAACCGAACCATACAGTGTGAGAGTACAAATGTTGGGTGCATTGTCAAATATGCATTTGCAGTCAATTTTTTGGTCACAAAAGTTTACCAAATGCCATCATTTAGTTATAAATAGTATAACTTAGAGAAATAACAAAAGATATTTTTTCATATAACCCGAGAAATG